CCGAAACGTCAGGCAAATAAAACTCTTGTTCCAGTGATCGCATCCTCTTCTTATAGGCTAATTATGTGTTTGCATCATATGCCTGTATGTAACTGCTGCCCTCTTGACTCCCAAAGGCAATATATCATTGTAAATGACGATAACTAGTATTTTGAACATCAAGCCAAGTGATGTTGCCATGACACATCTCACTTAGTTGTGATGCCAAGACAATTTTTGCTACCGAATTCTTTGCAATCTTTAATCAGGTTCTTGTAATCTCTTGCCTCTTTTTCCAATAAAATACACCCCGAACATGATAATTAAGTAACCATGTAACGCTGCTGATTAACTCATTTTATATGCCTAATTTCATTTTAATCCACCTCCGATGTACAGTAATGATGTCTTCAAATAATGACTTGCGCACCTTCTAAAAGGTGCATTATTGACATTCTAAACCGGCAAGACAGCGAGCTCCTGGCACAATGGTCCGAAAGTTGGGCTTTTCATCAAAAAGCCGTGGGTGCAAACCTCGGGTAATTTATCCCCTGGGATTGGTATAACTGGTTGATGACGATTAATGAGCCAGAAATGACCATTCCAGTCTACCTTGTCTTTGCTGCCAATGTTCAGGTACATTAGCAGCCTAACATTTCATGGGTATTTTAGTTAAACTTGTAATGGTCGTTGCTGTTTTTTTGCCATTGTTGATCAGTCCTTTATCATTCCTCAGGCTGCGAATCTCAGTTGAGGCCACTCCTCTGGGAGTATATTCTAAAATCTACACCGGCAGTCTACACACGGATAGCTCATTACTGAAGTGTCAGACACAGTTGTCGATTTACGAATTGTCCAGGTTCAGGTGCTGGCACTTCTGGTAGTACGGTTTGAATGGACTACTTAAGGACAACAAATATGTCAGAAGTATCCACTGGAGCTCCCTCCATCAGTTGCCATTGTCTATTTTTTCCGACTTTACGGGCTCTAGACTGTGGTTCCAGGACAAAACTTTGCCTTCCATTTCTGTCCTTTATTCAAAATAGGTGGATAAAATCCTGCATTTCTTCATTTCTGACAAGATTTCAAAAGGATTTAATGTCTGTCACTTAAAGTTGACTTGCCAGCCTTAATATACGTGTTACTCTGAACTGTGACTCAGTCCGATTTTTCATATTTCTCTGTCCCTACTATTCAAAATTTACTCTTACTCGTTAGCAAAGCCAGTTTATCGAGTTATTTTGAAGGAAAATGGGAAAGCACAACAAGACGAGCTCTTTCCCATTATAACCGTCGGATATGTTACCCCAATTAGTCTTTACTTGCAATTTATACCTAAATTATATCATTTGAGCAGGCTTGATTTAAAACCCCTTCTACTTCGTTCGTTCTCCATCGCGTCTCCCTTGGGTGTTAGTATTAGGGTCACCGTTCCAAGATGTTAGTGTTTATGCTAGGAGTAATGGTTAGAGGTTGAAGTTAGGGATAGGCGTTGTGGTCAAGACTCGAAGTTAAGGTTATGGACATTGGTAACACCATTCCGTGCTACGGGAGTCCTTACCTTCGGTTTTCGGATTAGATCGCTGCGCTTTTCTAACTTTACGCTCCCTTGAGTTCTTGATAGAGGGTTCCTTCTGGTTCAGATGTAAAGAATAGATTTTGAAATACAAATGCTTGACGTTTGAACATAAATTTTAATGATGACATTTTATTACATTTACAAGGCATTCGACGGTCCCCACCACTACCAGATCGCCAATCGTGGCGG